CGAGGCTGAAGTCGGACGGGCCCGAGAGCAGGTCGCGGACCCGCGTGTCGGCAAGCATCCACCGTGTGCGGGTGCCGATGGTGCTCATCAGCGGGCCCAGCGTCTTCTCGCCGAGGTTGTAGAGTTCGGCGCCTTGAGCGGCGATGAAGCCCCCGAGGTGCGGGTTGTGCATCATCTCCTTGAAGAGCCGCTCTTGCAGTTGCGGGTGCGAACGCCCTGTCTTCGGGTCGATCCCCAGCAGCCGCTCGGTCGCGCGGATGAGCGTCTGATCACGCGGGTCGGGCTCGGTCGTCTTCACGTGGCCGGCCGCCGCCGCAAAGGCGCCTTGCGGCGCGAGCTGCCAGTAAGGGTCGGCCGTCGCGCTCTTCTTCTGCTCGGGGAACAGGCCGCGGGCAATCGCCATCAGCCGCGCCATCGCGCCGGGCTGGGCGACATCCACCTCGCTGAGGAACGTGTAGCGTGATGCCGGGAACGCGGTGGAGCCGCCTAGATCAACGTTCATCACCCGGCCGCCGCGCAGGTGGTAGCGGGCCTTGGTGATCGCCCGTGGATCGACGCCCAGCCGGCCGCCCCAGCGGCGGACGAAGTTGACGTTGTCCCACAGCCGCGGGTCGCAGCGCCGACCCAGCGCGAGGTCGCACAAATCGTTCTTCTCCGAAATCGCCAGCAGGTGATCGGGCCAGCCAATCAACTGGTGCGCCGCGGACGTCAACAGCTTCCCTGCGCCGGTGCATGCGAGCGTCGTGTAGTGGTTCGCCGGCAGGTGCACGGCGCGGCGTCCGATCGCGTGCTCCGGCAGCGTCGCGCCGAGCAGCGGCGTGTCGAAGATGTGACCGATCGCGGGGCTCATCTCAGCTTCTCCGGCAAGGGGCGGGTGTGACGTTTCAGCTCAAGCGGCGACATCCAGTCGCCGGCGGCGCCACGCCCTGTGAAGAGCCAGCGCCGCCAGCAACCCAGCAGCCCGATCCGTTCGCGGCCGGCGACCCACAACGGGGGTAGCACGGCGGCCGCAATCACCGCGCCTGGCGGCGCGTGAGCGCCCGCGAGCAGCGCCGAGGTCGCCAAGCCGCTCAACATCGCGACGCCCCAGCGGAAGCCCAAGAACCGCCATAGCGCGGCTAGCGCGTTCATTGCTGCTGCTCCTTTGGTAGGAGATTCAAGGTCCGGCCGACGCCGCCAGCAGCAGCGCCATCACGATCAGCAGCCCCACCAACAAAAAGTGATTGACCGCTTGCAACACGGCCCGGGCGCCGCGGCGGATCGGGCCGCCCAGCAGCATCCCCAGCACCAGCACGCAGATCAGCACGGCCATCGGTCCCTCCTGTCGGTGATCACTCCAGATCTTTAGGCGCCCGTTGCCCAGCCGCTGGCGCGCTTCAGCCGCAGGCCGTTGCGTGGTGGGCGGGGCAGCAGTTCCAATCCGGTCGCCGCCCGCGCCTCGCAATAGGGGCACGCGGGGAGACGGAAGTCGAACGCGTGCCGGGCATTCGCTACGCAGGGACGCAGCGCGCGTCGCAAGCGGGCCAGCTGCTGGAGCCACTCGCTCAGAGCAGGTCGCGCGGCCGGGTCCCGCCAGCCGCCGTCGAACGTCCGGAGCGTCAGTTCGACGATCCCCTCCCCCTGCGACGCCAGCGGAAGAGACTTGGCGGGAGCGCTGACCTTCCCCGCGCCGGGGCCGATCTGCGCGCCGTGCCAAGCGTTCAGCTCGATGCGTCGCTCGGTCGCCGGGGGACGCGACCCATCGCTCTTGTCCCAGCGCCCGCTGTAGGGGTGCGCGCCCGACGCGCCCAAGAGTTGGAGCGCGATCACCACGGCGCTGAAGATGTCTTGGGAGGGCGTCCGCGTCAGGCCTAGCAGCTGCTCCTCGGTCTTGGGCTGGAGCTCCGGCGGGCAGTAGTCCCCGGTCGTCACGCCGCACGTCAGTGCGCCGCGGGTCGTCGCGTACTGCGAACTGTCGCAATCGATGAGCGCCACGCGGCCGGCGCGATCGACCATCACGTTGGCGGGCGACCCGTCGCCGTGCACCACGCCGCGGCGGTGGAGCCAGTCGAACGCGGCCAAGACGTTGGCGGCCACCCCGACCAGTGAAGCGGCGTCCCAGTCGGGGAAGAGCTTCTGCCGGACGACGGGGTCCAGCGCCCGCGTTAACGGGACGTAATTCTCGAGCATCGGGAGGACGACCCCGACGATCTGCTTGCTGAAGGGGTCGACGACGAGCCGTTGCGGCCATGCCGCCCAGGCCCCTTGGGGGTCGGCGAAGACGTTACGGTTCTTCACGGCCCACTCCGCCTTCTCGGCCCAGAGGGCCGTCACTCGGCGCGGCATCTTCACCACCGCGCCCGGGCCGCAGCGGTAGAGGTCCGCCTCGGCGCCCGCCGCCATCCGTTCGGGCGGGAGCCGCAGTCGGCGGCCGCCCGGGTAGACGAGATACTCGCCGGGGACCGGTGGGGGGGCTGGCGCGGCCGGCGGTGTTGCTGCCGGTGTCGCCGGTTTCGTGAGCGTCGTTCGTTGGCGTAGCAGCTTGGTGATCATCTTGGGCACCTTCTTGAGTTAACGCCACCGCGGCGATGGTTAAGTCGTCGTCACAACGTTCCCGCACGGCGGAACTCTCCAAGAGCCTGTCGAGCCCCGCGCCCGCCCCCCACTCCGACCGCTCACGGACGCCTTGCAAAAGTCGGTGATAGAAGCTGTCGTTCGCTGTCCCATCGCGGGCGATCGTTAGCCCCTCGACGCCGTCGGTCACGGCGACCGCCCCGCGGACGTGCCCGCGCACCGTGACGGTGCGTAGCCGCTCGAGGCAGTTCGCGTCGGTGAGAAAGTCCGAGCGGTTGGCGGCGCCCGGCTTGTCGTCCCAGAGGACTGTGCGGATCTGCTGGCGTGTCTGCACCACCAGCGCGCCGTCGCCGATCTGGCCGGCTAAGACGCCCCTCTCCCCGACCACCGCCACGAGCAGCGTGGTGGCGAGGTCATTGACATCCCTACCGAGTTCACTTGCTTCCCGCTCGACGGCGCGGCGGGCCGCTCGGAAGCAGCGCTCGAGCTGGCGACGGCCGCCGGGCTCCGACGGGGTAAGGCGGTTGACGCGGAGCCAATCGAGCGCCGCGAAAACCGCCGTGTTCGAGCCGCGGTCCGAATGGGTCGCGCCTCCCGCGCCGTCGGCCGCGACCAGATAACAGACTTTCCTGGCGACCAGCACGAGGTGGGCGTCGTCTCCCCCCTCGCCCCGGCGCCGGTGGGCCCCGCCGGTTGCGCTGCAACCGGCGGAGACCCAGTGCTTCCGGCGACTAGACATCGTCGTGCCCTCCTCAGGCGTCGTGTTGGGAAGAGGTGCCGCCGCCGCCGAGCGTCGCCT